AGTTATAGGTCAGATCAGTGGAGTGGCAAGCCTGCTGACAATAGATTTTTCAAACTGTTTTTTAGCGGTAAAACACCTTTAATGTAATAAAATGCTATAAAGATACATACATATAAAGATATATTGTGGAACGTTTAGTGGCAGACTCTCAAACTGAAATGTTATGTAGTGCACCTATAAATAGAAATGAGTTTTCCATTAACCAGCAGCTAATAAGTGCTACTTCGTCTTTTGCACAGAGAGAAGTCATATACTCATAGTTAGATAGAATGCCCAGATTAGAAATCAAACCTTGAATCTTTTGGTTGTGGGGTTAGAATCCTATTCACTATGCCATCATGATGTCTAATTTTTATTAAACTGAAAGACAACCAAGCTTTTTGAAACCACGGAAACTACGTAATTCCCTTAGATGAGGAATTACAATCAAATTATTCTCTGTTGTACAATGAATGTACCAAATACAAATGAAACTCACAGTTAGAAACAGGAAGGGAAATTTGAGCCTACAAGATATATTTAGTTCATACACAATCCCTCAGCCTGTGAACATGAATGGTGTTACAAATAGAGCCAGGTATTGAATCAGAGTCATACAAGTAGTAGAGCCTCCCCATGTCCTCAAGGAGCATCAATAGCAGTTGTCATAATCTCCTGCTGAGGATGTTCACAACAATAGCCTCTAGGGGCAGCGAGGAGGGTACCAGCCTGGAGGGAGAAAGGGGGAGAGAAAGAGGGAGAGAGGGGGGGTCCTTGGACAGGAGGGGGGATCGTCGGATAACAAGCAGTGCGCAGAAGGTGTGTGTATCGGAGCGTGAGAAAACAGTTGAGACAGCCCGGGCCCACTGAGATGAGTGGCGAGCTAATGCTATGTTAGTGAACTGCTAACGGCATGCCTGGGTCTTGGCGCTCTGCCCTTGTGCACACACCCCAGTGGCCTGCAGCGGGGCGGGGGAGGAGGGGAGGGGGGCTCAGGTCGGGGGGAGCGATTAGTAGTGACACGTCTTTTGGGCACCGGGTGGGACCACTCTACCATCTGAGCTATATGACATGTTGACTCACGCAAGACTATAGTCCGGGTTATGTAAAGGGGGTTCAGTCTAATGAGGTGGAGAAGGTGAGGTAGAATTGTACTCAGAGGCACACTTCCTGGTGAAATTCATGTAGCACCTTGGGTCATTTAACATGAAAGTTGCTGAAACATCTCCTCTATGTTAGATGGTACTTAGGATTTATCATATTTATGAATATTTAGTGGATAGGCCTACAAGTAGGGTTGAAGTACCTTAAAGGGTCACAGTGATACTGTGCTATTCATTTGTATACTTAAGATAATCAAATGTTATATTTACTGTATAAAGTTCAGTTTTAACCATCGTATTTTTTTGTAAATGACAAAATTAAGTGAAACATACTGTCTAAATTCAGAAGTGATGTGCTGAACATATGGGCCTATGTTTCAAAAAAGGTCAAATTACAAAAAAATGCGTACAGATGAAAATTCAAATTCAAGCATGATCCTTTTTTTCCTTGAAGTATTCCCACAGCACCTGACTCCTGGTGATTTGCATATTAACTGTTTTTTATACCAGATGCCCTTCATGACATGATAATAGTTCTTTATTTAGGGGATCAACACAAGAAAAACACTGACTCGTCATTGGATTTTGTGTTTTGATCTCACGGAGCCTCTACTCTCGCTAAATTAATTTGTCCATTTATCCATTACCTGACCTTGTGGTGACCCTTGGTGACCCCTCCTCGCCCCCTGATGTTTGTATCTGTACGTCAGAGCATCAGAGCAGAGCTGAGGCTAATGAAGTCTACTGCAGGTGGACAGATACAGGGACTCCACACAGGGTCAGAGACTACAGTTAATCTAGCCCTCGGGCTTGTTCCTCTGCTAATTGGAGGCTGTGCTTTACCATAGATTGGATTTGGTTACAATTGCAGACAACATTTTGTTGGAACCTGCTTATCTTGACACATCTTAAGAGCCCTTTCATTTTTTTTCTCAAGTGACAAATGCTGATTTGAGCCTCTATTGCTACAGAGCACAGTAGTAACTATTATGGCTCTAATTTGAGTTGCATAATAAGGTCTTTGATTACTTTAGTCTATAGTGGATGGGCCTCACATTCATGGAGTCTGTTTGCAGTGTCTCTTTCCATTTGGTTATGTTGTACATATTGTTTTTTTTTTATAATTTTAATGTAATGTAAAAAGGGCACATGTGTAACCTTTCTGAGGAGCAGGTCCATAACCTGTGGTTACCATCTTGCTCTGGCTGTAATGTTCCATGGTATAGCATTAAACTGATACGCCTTGCATTTATTAAATTACAGACATGTTTATTATGAAACATACCATTAAAAAAGCATTTTAAGGTTGAGTGGAGTCACCTCTTTTCATAGATCTGACCTGTAGCTAGACCTACTGGCGTCACCTGCTTGTTTCCAGTGCCATACCATGGAACATTCTAGGCAAAGCAACATCATCTCCATTTAAACAAACAGGTGTCTGACCTTCCACCCGAAAAGTTACGCAGTGCATCTTGTTAATGTTTGCTGGATCTAGACTAATGCTGTCTGGTCATTTGTAAGCAAGCTTAAGCACTTCATTGTGTATGATTTTATTTCATATGAACTAAACCTGTACAACCTTTAATGTTTCGCCTGTATTTTTATTGTGTGTTTGGTTTCACTGGGCTGTATTAAAGCAGCATTGTCTCCTCTTAATGACATCATGGCTCTGACAGAAGCTGGAGAAGACGCCCCAGGTCTGAGAGCAAAACTCTTCAGCTTGGCTCTAGTGTGTCCCTCCCCGGGCATTACCAGTCCTCACGGGGCATTGTGAACGAAAGTCAAAGAACAAAAACAAGCCCTGACCACCGATGTGAGGGTCCGTATGTGGTACAGGGGCCATTTGGCTGTTCACTTCTGCTAGCGTGTGAAAACGATAGTGAGACAAGATCGTAACAGAGCGGGAAGGGGAGGGGGGAAAGACACGGAGGTCCGGGAAGTTGGAGAGGAGTTCAGAGGTCAATTTAGCCTCCAGGGTTGGGTGATGCTCTGAGGGCGCACTGTGAAGGGTGTGTGCAGTGCATCATGGGAGTCCTTGGCATGTCCTCTTAATCTCGCCTAGGAGAAGACAGTTACTTCCCCTTAGCTGGTTCTGTGCACAAAGAGTCGCAACGGGTTGGAACATAGATGACAAAAAGTGTACTTTGTATAAATGAGGAATTAAGTAGGGTTTACCAGTAGTAGTCTAGCAAAAAGAAACTACATTTGATGGGGCTGAACTAAAGCAGGAAGTAATATGAGAAGTTAACAGTGCCCATCTAAGGAGCTTTTTATTATTAGGTATTAATCTTTTCTATTAAACATGCAATTTTTATGGCTCAAAACCCTCAACACATTTCACTGGCATTCATCATTTAGTGGTAATCCGATTCATTTCGATCATTTTAACACTGAAATAAAACTTGAAACATGACTAAGGCTGGCCTATATGGGAGCGTCCCTATGTTCCCTCATTTCTAAGGTTTTTAAATTTTTCCAAATGTTCCCACATTTCCTTTATCATCACTTTGCACCAGAATGTTTCCCCATTTCTCCCAATTTGGTCGTCAATTACATCCAACCTATTATCCAGCAGCAGTTGACTACAGATGTAATGTAGAGGTCATGGTGCAAAGGATGCTGGGTTGAAATTACTCTGAATCATCCCTTTAAATGCGGTATAAAAATAAAAATGACTTGACTTAAAGTTTAATTTTGAGAAAAATTTTAGAAATAAGGGAACATAGGGTTGAGGGAACATAGGCCTGACCCCGCCTATATGTTTTCGAAAGTTTAAAAAGTCTGAGAAATATATAACCTTTGTGATGGCAATATTGACCCAGTAACTGTGGCCTGCATGTTATGTAAACTTAAAACAAAAGCAGAACCCCAAAACAAATATTAGTATTGAATATTCGAATATGAATTCTAGCGTAGATATACTTTGCCGTGTACAAAGCTCAACATTGCAGTGTGACAGCGCTAACCTCCCTTTATTCACATTGAGTAAGATTGACAGTGCTACTCCCTGTGCTGCTGAAACCTCTGGCCCTCAAAGTGTGTGTAATGAGACAGGTCCCGAGACAAGCGCTAATCAACTCCAGTTTATGGCTCCTGAAGCGAAGAGGCCATCAGCAGAGAATACAGGCAGCGCTGCTAACTGTAGCCCTATGACCTAAGCAGGGACTCTTCAGTAATGAGCAAAGTTCACATCAAATATTTACTTTGATTCTGAAAATAGATGGCATGTTATTTGAGGAAAAAAAACTACTTCATGTACCTTGTTCTCACCATTATAGTTCAAGCATGTTTTTCAGATGTGTGTGGTTCATATGCATTATCAAAATATATTCATGGGTTTCAAAATCATGAAAAGTTATGACAATTCAAAATAAAATATTATATCTTTTGAATGGTTAAATGTTCTAAAAATGACACTATATGACCCCAAACTTATAAATAGAAAAGAGCTGCACAATTTTGGGGAAAAATCTCTGTGTTAGTATTTTATTTTGATGTGTCTAATTTTGTAAATTAAGAAACACACATTTTTATACACAGCCTGAAGCATAATTTGAGACAGAAATATTACCACTAACACATGAATGTGAAGAGTAGGTTTGATACATAATACTTACTAATCCATGTTTATTTCCCAATAATCTCAGTCTTTCAAACTGCATTTTTGGATTTTATTTAATTAATAGTGAAATTTATTTAATAACCATTTCCTTATCTCTTTTCAGCTAGGCAAAATCCTGCTGTAGATTTACCTTCAGTGCCTCTGTCAGTTTGTATGAGTGTTACAGTGACACACAGCGGGAGCAACAGCAGCTTTCTAGAGCTATCACTGGTGCTCCTGGTGGTCCCCTGACAAAGACAACCTCCAGCTACTTCTACATCTTTAGTCAGAGTAACAGACAAGACAGTGCCCTCGGCTCTCATCCAGGTTAGTTTATTGGTCTCAGTGCATCCATAGATGAAACAGACAGGTACCACGCACATGAGTAAGCAAAAAATAAATATGAATAGATGTAGAATTATAGAACATTATACCATTTGGAGTTGTAAAAGTAATTATGATAATATTGTTCAGTCATTGTTGGCAATAAACATGATTGTTAAGACATTTGTGACGTACAGTATTAGGAAAAGAAAATACATGTTTTTATTATAGATAGTGGTTGGTTTCTTGGCTAGGCGCTCTGCAGTGTACATTATTATTGTTAGCTTTGTCCTTGTAATACACAAACTTCACTACACAATCATATTCTTGCATGCACATGATTTTGTATTACAGAAAATTTACCATTCATAAAAAAATTGGAAAAAGGGCTGGTTGAAAACATGTTTTTATCCTTGGCTTTTTGTGTCATAATGTCCCTAACTGTAATCACAATATATTTAACATTTATCCCTCTAACACTATTACAACATATTCAGTACATAATAATTTACTGCCATACACCGATACACACGCGTCATCTTTGATCATTTTGGCTTGCATAGAGTCCATTATGGTGGCACTTACAATGGGCTCAATTAAATGTCTATAATGCCATTTTTAAAGAACAGGTTGAATATGCATTGAAATGACGTGATATATTGAATAGAAAGGAGAAAGACGTAGTCACTCTAATCAACAAACAGCCTACAGTGAGTTTATAAAATGTTGTCCTTTTGGCTGTGAGATGCTACAAGGAGTGTAAAATTAAATTAAAATCTATGAAAACACAATGTCAACACATAAATTATTGCACAAACAGTAAGACAATCCCTGCATCAAAGTTGTGAAATAAAAATAAAGTCGGCAACTTCATCAAATATAGTGTACATCCTGGTGTTTATGTAGCTGCATCAGGTGTGGCCCAGTCCACTTTGGAAAAAAAGGGATGGGACTTGATATCGTCGACTCCTCCCACTCCGGCCCCCAGTCGCTCTGTGGGGTTGTACTGGAGGAGCTGTAAAAGCAGATTATTGGTCAGGCATAACAATCACTGAATAACAGATCCTCAAATCACAGTGGAATATATTAGGTAACTGAGTTTTCACAAGAATGAGTTCGAAAAACAAGGGGTTTAAAAGTACACTATATACTTTTTCTGGTGGAGGGGTATATTATCTTCTTGTCTCCAAGGAGATGCTATTGCTTTGTCTGAAATGTTCCACAAAATTTATTCAATTAGATTTATTCAGTTACAATTGCTTTATTACTAAAACACAAGTGAAAATGCTTTCTTGCTGTGAGCAGGCCTCTCTACAGATTTGACCTGTAACTTGTAGCATCACCTGCTTACCATTATACACAGATACATTTAATGTATAACTGTGGAATATTCAAACCAAAGCAATAACATCTCTGTGGACACAAACAGATCCTCCATCAGAAGTTACATAGTGCACAAATACATCAAATAAATTTTAGTAATTATAAAACATTACTATTTGTCCAGTAGGTCCATTTTAAACTATGGCCCATCTTAACTCTTCGTCCTCACCTGTTCAAGCAGAGATCTGGCCTCCTCTGAAACAAACTCGGGAATATTGAGCGCCGTGTGCCGACCGATTCCAGCGGGATGGCACCTCAGCAGAGACTGGAGGGAGCAGAGCAAGAGTCCATGAATGAAAACAGAGCAGATCAAACCAACACTGTGGGAGTCAAAACTACACAAATAACAGGAGGGTCCAGGCACCTGAAACAACACTGATGCCATCAACTAAAACAAGGACCTCATCTGACTGCTTTCTCAACGCAAAGGATAAACGTCATGAAACATATCTAATTATTATGTTCCTTGTTTTTGTAGAGCAAGTTTACTGGTCAGGTCAAACTGCCATTTCATGCACAAAGCTCCATTTGAAATCACTAAAATGAGCTTTAAGTGCTGTTTCATCCACAGTCTGTAGTTCTAATGTTGCAGTAATTGACAATAATGAGCATAATTGCCACATATATATGTATCCGGCGCATCCTTGAGCCAGTCTGGAGTAGTGCGCCTCTGCTAAATGAAAAAAAGAGTGTTTGTTTTTTAGTCAGTTGCCCCTCTGTGCGTCTCCCGCCTGCTACGTGCTGCAGGACTTCTGGCTGCTATCCGAGCTTTAGTCAAGACTGCTCCAGGCAAGATCTTATCCTGCAAGGATCAAGAGCGCAGTGAGAGCCGCAGTGAGTGTTTCGCTGCCAGGACATAATCATCAAAGGAGACATCTGTGTCGCGCAGGTTTTATTCCAGGTAACTGGGTGTGTTTGATTGAATGTAAAAACGCTAACCTAACACCCCCTGCTCTTGTCTGGGCCATTGATGGGAACTACTGATGCCTGATATGTGGTTATGCCCACTGGCAATCAGCTACACAGTATTCAAATGTAATATACAATGAGATTGAGCCAGGTGTGTGCTATTGTGTGACCTCCAAGACAGCGCTAAGGTATAATTAGTAAAGTCTAGCAGCTGCAGATCCAACTGTTGAATTCTAACAAAAGGACAAAAGTTGGTGCAGTTCCTTTGCAGTCTAATGAAGAAGACAGTCCCTGATTGAGGACGAGTTGTGGCGTCTGGAGGGCTGCCCCGGTGGTCACTGCTGTCCACGCCTTTCCTGAGGTTGGCGTGTGCAGAGAGCTCAGAGCAGCTCCAAGAGCCAGCACAGAGACCCGCGAGGGCCGACCTCCTGGCCCAGCAGATGGAGCTCAGGCTGGGGGAGAAAGTCACACCAACACCCCTGGCACTCCCCGAGAACCAGAGTAAGAAACAGCAGCCAAGACGAACGTTATACACAACTACACTTACAAACGAATACAAAATTACACACTCGCTGGCACCATTATAAAGCAGCAGAGCAGAGATACCCAGAGATGTCCCACAACACCTTAGCTACAAAGACCAACCAATATTTTGTCAAACTTTCTACTCACCATGCCTGTTAGAAGTTCAAACAGGATTGCACCTAAGCTCCACCAATCACAGGCTGGCGTCTCCTCGCTGATACCTCCGACCTCTGAAAAAACACACATACAAATTTGTTTATTGTACTTGTACTTATTATCTTCAAACATATTTAATAAAAAAAAAACATTTACTCAAACTCAAAATTTACAGTTTTATTTATTTTACAATCTACATTCTTTTACTTTTTAATTGTGTTTATTAGTTTTTTTTGTGCATTATTGAGTGCATAAGTAATCTCCCTTGTGTATCAACTCATATAAATATAATTCTTAAAAAGACAACATGCTGCCACTCTCTTGTCACTCACACAAGCCGAAGTGAGTCTCATGAAGGTGATTTGCATAATAAAACCTGTTCTATTGAGGAAACCGTAACAACTTCACACCATCTGCATGACCCGACCTCAAACACACACACACACTCTCCAAGAAACAGCAGCAATATGTGAATCACTGATATCCAGCTGTCCATTACCACTTCATTTCATCTTAGTGCGTTGTTGTAACACCATCTATTTATTTATTAACAAACAGAAATGAGCATTAATAAGTTCTTTCTTTCAACTGTGTTAACATGTGTCTCTGCACTGATTTGCATTCAACTTAGTGTACCTTTAAATATAAGCTGCACTTTTTGTGGTGTGTTTGGAGTTATTTATTTACTGTTTCCTCTTATACCTTACTTCAATTTACCTCTGCTGTTTAACTTCTGACAGTTCATTAATAACCGTTTCAAATAATAGTGATTCCAATTATGACCCAAATAACTAATACAGTTTCCTCCATAATTGAGTAATGTTTATTACTATAGATAAACCGATATATCAATTAGCCGATATTTTTGACTGTTTAGCACATCGGCTGTCAGCCTTAACTCTCCAGCACAAGACCATATTTAGTTTTGGTCAATCTGCTGCCTAAAATAAAGCTTTGTGTGTAGTTTTTAACATTACATATGAAGAGAAAACTGCAAAAAATGTGATTACACAGCTCGTCATCTCTTACCCATCTCATCCCTACCCATAGAACCAAAAAGATCGGTTTATCAGAGTTTATCAGCGATCAGTTGCCCTGGATTCTAAACAATCAGTATTGGCATTGACTCTGAACATACCCATACTGGTTGATCTCTATTATAACTATATAAAAGAATGCAATTTGATAAGGGACAAATCACATTGCATTGGTGCCCAGCTCAACCACTGCATTCGAGATGTCCTCTTCACTCAGTCTTGCCATCTCTAAAGGGGGGGGGGGTCACCCAGAGGGGCCCTGGGTCAGATCCATGCGTAGCCCCAGATCAGGCTCCTCAGCTGGGGTCACATTAGAGACATTCTCCCTTGTCTTGTTTCGGCTCCTGGGAACTCCACGGGCCTGTGCGGCTCTCTTTCAGCCAAGGTTAGCGCGCGGCTACGCTAGGGCCGAACGCGCACAGACAAAAACCAACTGAGCAACCGGTCTTCAGGGCTCCCCAGCACCCGTGTTTTGACAGCCAAGGAGAGCAGATCGTCATTGAGCGCACTAGTGATACCTGCGTTGGTTATGGGCTGCAGGGGAGGATGCCGGACTCACACAGAAGCGCACACGTCTCAGAGCAAGGTCGATGTCATCACAATAGATTAATGTCTGAGGAGCTGCGGGGAGAGAGCAGCGGAGAGAGCTGGCTTCACTTACCACTCTGTCAAAGCAATGCACGGGCACCGGGCACAGCGCAAGAAGAGGGTGACAAGGAGTTAACCAAGTCCACGGGCCACGGGTCGCTCCAACCACTGTTACACTATTCCTTTAAAATGTGTAATACAGGATTTTTGCATTTTTATAATTATGACTTTTGGTGGGATAGTAGCTGTGGTAAATATTTATCATAGTTTAACACCCGTTAAAGTGTCAGTTTGTGAAGACTGCATTGAGTAAAATAAACTGTATAAAAACAGAACTCTACCCATGTCATAAATACATAAAATTTCATCCAGAATTCAAGGGGATTTACATTTTTCTGTCAGTTTAGACCTTCAAGGCATTGTCATTTATTTTTATTAGCCTAATCATAACTATTGTGTAATTTAGACGTGTTCGGCCATTGTTAACATTGTTGTTGCTAGGAAACAGCTATGGATGCATGTCTCATCTGCAACCGTATCTGCCCAACCAGGAGGTAAAATGATAGACTTCAGAAAATTGTCTAAAAACTAGGGGAAATTAGACAAGATCTTTAGTAAAAGTTTAAATACAATTATGCTAACTATGTTTTAATGAAATGTGTGGTCTAACTTGTCATCTGCACTTCAATCTACCACTACTGTTCGACTGGTAACACAATGCTGCACTTGTTATGGCATCTTCTTTTACCTCGAAAAACAGACTTCCCTCTCCACCTGTGAATCTTAGTAACAGCTCCGCTCCTCTGGGCACGATAAGGAACTTTCTCTCTTCTCCTCTTAGAGACACTTCCCTAAAAACTAAAGCCACAGGTATTGTTCTCAGAGGAAGTCAACTACGCACTGGTAGGAAGAAGAAGAAGACTTTGTTCTCTGAGGCTCATTAGTCTTACAGTGTGGTACAGTGGTAGTATTTTACTGTGTAGAAACCGATTAAATTCAAAATACTTACATTAAAGCTGTACTAAATTCTAATCTTAAATTAAACCTTAGGCTTGATAAGTACAACCAACTATTGTCATTATACAAACAATTATTAAAATCTCTAGCAATTAAAACCTTAACATACAGCACATTTGGGATCTTTTGAGGCTTTCTCTTACAGATTCAAAATCTCTCAATTTAAACATTTTCATTTCTCAGTTTTGTTCAGTTTTTACATGGACCAGAATCCATCAGGTGCTGGTTAAGTAAAACAAAAAATCTGCTTTTCATCTCCAATAAAAGTGGGCGAAGGAAAATGAGCTCAGTTCAGAGTAAATAGCAGATTTTCCGGTCCCACTCCTGTTTTGGTGAATGTGTTTAAAAACATGTGTAGTGTCTCACATGCACACACATACGGTCAGTGCAGACCCCCTGCTGGCTCTCTGGCAAACACTCATAAATCTGTCATCAGGAATGAAGCCATCACAGGAGCTGACCCTGTCTGGATAAACAGCCACACAGAACAAGGGCAGCACACACTAGAGTGCATGTGCATGGGATGATCACTTACATATAGCACCACATATACTACTATTACTGCACATATACTTCAACTACTACTACTACTGCACATATACTACTACTACTACTGCGCATACGGCACTGAGGCTATAAAGGTCAGAGAGACACTGGCTCCAACTGCTGCTACAGGCTGTGGGCTCTTTACTATATATACTAATTATATGAAAAAGGTGTGAATTTAAAAATGTCCAATATTTGCAGAGTTAGACTTGTGTCGATCAGCGGCAGTACACACCTCCTACTGGGGAATAAGTGTATTGCATTAGAAAGCCACAGGGGATTAACAATCGTTTAACTAACAAGAGCCCTCACATCTGGACTGAGAAAACAAACACTACACTGATAGCTGGGCAATATAATAAAATATTCTAATGTTCACTGGAAGCAGTTCACTCTGGAAAAAATATGCATTTAACTTATAACTTAGAACACATTTTAGTCAGGCTGCTAAAAATATGGCAGGAAATATTATAATTAATAGTAAAAAATGTTATCTTCTACAGAAAGAGCCCTTCAGTCTACTTAATTATGAAAATATTCTTACTTTAAAAGCATAATAAAAAAGTAAAGTGTCAATGTCAAAATAAATAAAATATTCTTTAAAAAGGATCACATTTGGTCACAAAGCAGAGCAGCAAATATACTGTGGCCTTTACTCTGAAGAGTCTTTAGATCACCTGCCACTCCTGTCAAACTCCTGCATGTACCTGCCTCTACTTCCATTAGGACGTTGTTTTTAACACATTGTGGCTCTGGGAATAAAATACACACTTTGAATATTAGATGGGGTGTTAGTTGCTTTCAGATTTATTACATGGGGGCATACATACAGACAAGGAGGATTTGAATCTGGAGCGACCTTTTTGGCTCAGTGGAGAGGGCGATTGTGAGAGAATGGTTTTGGTGAGGTGAGGGCTACAGTATGCAGAATCTAAAACACATCTTGGTTTGGACTTGTTAAGACAACTAAAGGAACCCATATAACTTCTTAGATTTAGACTAGATTAGATTTAACCAAGCTCATATTTACCCATACATAAATACAGAAGAGCTTGGAGGGGTCAGAGGGTTGAAGTGTAGCAGCAGTTGGTTTTAGACAGCTTTTAAACAGCATGCCACACGCTCAGTCAGGGCAACACAAAAGGGTTACAATAACACAAGCACAATGTTGCACAACAGCACCTCCTACAGGGCAGTACAAGAGCTTCAACCTTTCAGTTTAGCCAAGATGAAAGAATGGCATGTCTCTACATGAAGTTTGTTGTTAATCTTAAAAAAAAAAGACAATAATAATAACATTGTGCCAGATGGTGTATATTAATAATGGTAAAAAGTAAGTTAAACTTTAGAGATTGTTAAGTTAGTTAAAGAACTAACAGCATAAGCAAACAATGCCCACATAAGACTTGCTTAAAACATCTACTGTAACTGTAAACATATAGCCCACTGGATGTAAAGTGTGTGTGTGTGTGCATTCTCACCTGGTGCACAGTACATGTTGGCCACAGCCTCTTTGTCACATGACTCCTCCACATCAGTCCAGCTGCAGAAGTATGTCAACTGAATATGACCTGAGGATGATATGAGGATGTTTAAATATATGGAGATAGCATATTGTTATAGAGACCATTCTGTATTGTGCATGATGGAAAGTGAAGGGTCACTTTGAGTTGATCCTTTTCAAACTGCAGAGCACATTTCTCAAGAGCCCTTCCTTGCTGGGATCCTCTGGGCCTGGTCTCTACATTACTTTTCTAGCACACAGCCCTGACGATTACTCCTGTTTAGCCGCTACCCGTTAACGCTATCATTAGAACTAATGGTGTCATTAGGTAACTGTGGCCATTAGCCTAGGCTAGCCAGACAGATGCACCACACTACATCGGTGATGGGCCCTTTAGAACAATAATTACCAGCAGGCAGAGGAAAACAGCCACTCAGCTAATTAGGCGCTTGTTGATAACGAGGCGGAGTGAGATGATTGTAGGAGCACAAAAGAAGACGTCGAGGAGGATTCTGTGACCTTCGCTAAAACAACACTTTCCTTTTGAACACAGTTCATATTTGTGTAAATAGATTAAATGAGCGACGGACAAAAGTTAACTGCACTTTGCTGAATGCACCTCCTGCTTTTAGACACAGCTATTAAGAGTTATTAGTTCCGTACAATCAGTGCGAAATAGACAGAAGTGCATGGACACAGTGCTGTTGCTCTGTAAAAGTAAGCTGTAGATATTTTCTTTTCAGACAGAAAAGTGGTACCTTGATGGTCGAGCAGAATGTTGTTGGGGTTGAGGTCTCTGCATAGGATGCCCTCTTGGTGCAGAGAGTCCAGGGCTGTGACCAGCTCTGAGGCCCAGCGCCGCACAAACTCCTCTGGGATGAGGGCTTTAGATGCTGCTTCAGAGAGCTCTTGCAGCTCTGCAAACAGCCGTGACACATGTCCATCAAACTCACCGAGCCCAGTCTCCTGAGCGCAGAGAGAGCTGTGGTCTGGGCCTAGCTCACTCTCTGTGGCCTCTGACACCTCAGGGTCAGTCCTGGGGGGCACAGAGCTCACACTGTGGTCAGGACTGTCCTGGTTCAATGAACAAGACTCCAGTGTTTCTCTTAAAGAGTCACTCACTGACAGAGTAGAGTCATTTTGGCCTGTGATGTCCATTCTCTCTGAAGCCTCTTCTCCGTATGCTAAGCTGAAGTTGTCCCATAAGGACATGAATGGGGAGGAGGACGTGGTGTCTCCTGTGGCAGAAGCTGTGCAGAAGGACAAAACCTCCTCCTCTTCCTCGGGCTGGCTGTGGCGCTGTAAAACATCAGGCTGAATGGACTTTTGAGGAGAAACTGAAACTTCTAGACCCAGAAAAACCCCAGAGGAGTCGGTCTCCTCCTGAGAACAGTCCACAGCTCCGGTCACTACAGGCAGGTTGACCAGCAGGTCGGGGGGCTGGCCCTCCTCCTGCACTATGGCTTCTTTAAAGGAGATGACAGGGATGGACTCATGAGAGTCTTTGTCACTCTCCTCCAGGCCCCACACCTCCAATCGAGGCTGCACTTCCTGAGCCAGCTCAGGAAGCTCCTCTGTGGCCTCAGAGCCCAGGTCTGAGGTGGAGAACAGTGCCAGCTGTTTGTGGGACATCTCCACACAGGGCACCTCACTGCCACTGTCTTTACTGTCAATGCGGAAGAACTCCATGGGCGTGTGCTTGGACTGATCTAAGGACAGAGGCACAGCCGGAGAGGGCAGAGGGCTGAACACATCACTGTGGTCCGGCCCCTCAGTATCCTGTGTCAGAGCGCTCCTGTCCGACGACTCTGTGAAGAAGCCCAGCTCCTGAGAGCTGATGGGTGACGACAGACTGTCATTACTGAGCAGAGAGCGGGAGCGAGATGAGGTGGTCGCATTAGGCACCTCCAGTGATAAGATCTCCTGCTCACTCCTCTCCTCCTCCACCAGGGCATCTACTTCTACCTTCTCCTGTTCATACTCAATGCACAGAGCTAAAAAACTGTTGGTGACCTGGTCCTCGTGTGTGTCCTTGGAGCACTCATCTTCAGAAGTAGGTGTTGAATCAGACTGGGCTCCGGATAGCTCCTCGACTCGTGGTGGGAGCGCACTTTTGAGAGGACATGTAAAGATAGTCTCTCCCTCTTTAGGCAGTCCTGCTATAGAGTCTGTGCTGGCCTCCCCCGCCTGTGATGAAGCATGCTGGGGAGAGTGCACAGCCGTTATGTGGCTTTTCTGGATGAAGGGAATGTCAAAACTTTCGTCTGGGCTGGAGGTGCGCAGGTATTTTCCAACATGAGACCACAGCTTACCACCTACACACAAAAAACATGGAGACAATTAGCATACCACCAGAATTTAAGGTCTCTACTGTTCATATAAAAATACAATGAAAAATATGAAATGTCAATAATCTATCTGAATATTGATACCTCTCTGCAGAGAATTCCAAATTAAAATGGGACAACTATTTGTTTTGTACTCTGGGTGATACATGTATGATTCAAAAATGTCATATAGACATTTTTAAACAACTAAAAAAAGGAAATGAAAATCTGCCGCTTTCTATGGTGAAATACCATTATCAACTATCAATTCTGCGATTTTAAACAGATAGTCATTTGATGTTTCTATTATTAAGCTATTTAAGATCAAAACTGTGGTTTACAGTGTATCAAATGTAAAATGATGATCTATGTATGTTATGATATTTTACTAAATGACCACAATATGTCCCCTTTGAACACACACAATGCAAAAGTCTTATTTCAGTTAAGTTTGGTAGAAAGAATGATTAGAGTTATTACAGGGCATTTACTAAGTAATGTTATTAGGTTATGTTACAAGATCAACTTAGCAGTGGATAAAGATACATTTCATCTTGACTTTCTTTGCAAGGGCATACTTAGAGTAAATGCCCACAGCTGTAGTATGAACAATTGGAAGCTAGCATCTGTTGTCTGTGATGAGAATGGATAGTGAGCTCGCTATGATGATAATGATTTAACTCAATGGGTTTCAAAGTAAAACTAGTCCCACGTTTTGTCCAATGTTACTCAGGTCACTGCCTTCCTCTGTCCTTGATAAACTGCTAAAAGCAAAACACTGGGAGATGGGACCAGGCCAGCTTTTGGATCAATTAGGCAATTATGAACAGCTCTCTATTAAAACAATCAGGTATATTGTAACAGCCCTTAAAGTATAATATTGAGTTACTGTCCACCGACATTGCACATGGTGGCTATGGGGTTTCACCAGATTGAACAGGTCAGAGAGCACTGCAAATACTAACTCACTGGTCTACACATAAGAGCCTCACACGATCTAAGTGGGATATATGGAGGCCCAGGTGGTGGCGCTGCTAATGAAGCCAAGCACCACCTGCTTTTCAAAATAATGACCTGTGACTCGCAACAATCACTATCACACATCTGCGAGGAGCAAGGGCACAGTATTAGCAACAAAGCAACAGAAAGGCTAAAGTAGGGACTAATGGGACTTAAATTTAACAATATATTTGTCTGCTTTACAGGCACACTCTGTAACTTTACTAGTGTACTTGTGTCCATGGAGATAATATTGTCTTGTTATCCCCACAAAGCCCAGCACAGATCTGTGGACAGGTGACCCCACTCAGAGTAAGAATGTTTTTAAAGGTATTTTGGAGCAATAAAAAAACATATCATGAAATAAATGAATGCTACATAGATGTGACTAATGTTATACTGTGAAATATTCCAAGCAAACCATTAACATATTGGAGACAAGCAGGTGGTGGACACATCAATGTCATATAGCACCTTTAAGGCTTGGTTCATACACAACAGCATTTATAGAAACATATGGTATTTGTATAGTGAATTCGATTAGACTAGATTACGTGAGTGGGAGATTACCTTCAGCATACTGCAGTAAAAGAAAAACTGTGTCTTCAGAAACAATAAAGGTTTTGAGCTGCACCATGTGAGGAACAGAGTGAGGCATGATGATCCGTTTGGACCTTCCACAGTCGCTGCTTCTTCTCAGTCCCTGTGGGTGAGTGGACAGAACGATTAAACTACGGAGAGGACACAAAAGGACAAAGAGGTAAAGTAAAGATACCCCAAATATAAAGGGCATGCAGTGTACAGAGGCAGGGCTGCAGGTTGTGTTAAGAATAAGCAGAAGGCAGGGGGGCAAAGGAGAAAGCTCACATTAACCAAGTGCCAGCTTTGCCCCATGTGTGTCCCAAAGTCACTGGATTCATCAGACCACACACAGCGCGTGACTTTAAATCTATCAGCGCCACACAGAAAGTTCACATTGTATGTGTGCATATGTAGTGCATGTATGTGTGCATATGTAGTGCATGTATGTGTGCATATGGCTGTGTAGTGATCTGTGCCGCGCAGTGCGCTGGCATCTGGCACACATCTCACACCTGAGAGCAGAGGAGCTGACAGGGAGAGGCCCATTAGAATCAATTACAGCGGTCACACAGAGGGGGGCGCCGGCACGCACACTCCTACTGTACACATGCCCCAAACTTACTTTCAAAATAAACGTCTCCTGTGTTCGCTTGTCCATGACCAGAAGAACCTGTAACAGAGGAGTGCCATTAATTGTGAGGTACTGAGATGATGTAGTGGTGAAGCCCCTCAATGAGGTGTTTTTCAAACATTGGGTCAAGACCCATACAGAGGGCACTGCAAGATAAATGTGGGGCTTGAAATGATGGCAGAGGAAGGAAATTTCCCACTGTGCTGGGCACAAAGTCTCAGCCGAAAATATAACATAGGCAATATTGTAATGTTAAACATAACAGGTAAGTTATAACACTGTAATTAAAAGAAATGTAAATAATGTGTGTCATTTTCTTTGTCATTTCTCTAACATCTCTATTCCTCCTTCCTACTGGGAGAGCATGAGCATATGTAGGCGAGCTGTGGTGTGTTGCTGTGAGGTGCGCGCTCTCATTGTGACCCCGACTGGGACCAAACAGGTGCAGGCTAAATGGATATGAATGGAGCTGTGAGTAAACAGAGCGGCAGTGCTAGCCAGGCGCTAATATAATTAAGACACAAACATCAGGGAAGGGAGGACAGGGGAGCAGGAGGGTGAGGACTTCTCTCCATCTGTCCCCTCTGTCCCCATTAAAAGTGCAAAGGCACGAAGCATTGAACAAATAAAAAAGATTACATTTCAGTTGTGTTTCTATGAAATGATTTGACACTGATTTGATGTCAACAAATGCACATTAACTCATGCGGGGTTGTATCAACATTTTCCTTGGGGTGCGTGTGTGTATAGGATGAGCATCATTGACTCAATGTTGTGTGGCTCTTTCTGAGCTGCTTGCCAAGTCATTTCATGGCTGAGTGGTGAAGTTGCTTTGTTGGCAGCTGGTTGAGGAGACCAGCAACCTAAACTGACCTTGTGGTCGTCATGACTTACTCTAAACACATTCATCATTTATAATATGATCCACAAAATCTACATTTATAGCTTGAATTAAAGCTATGGCCAAAAAAAAAGGACACAGAAAAGAACAGCTGCAGATGTGTACATACTGACCTTATCAATAATCCCCAACACTCTATAGACTCTGAGCTCTTCTGCTGAAGGATGTGAGATTTCTCTACTTGAAGAAGGGCAACACTGAGCTGCCATGGCCTAAAACAGTTATCAAAACATTTGTGTGAGTTATGTTTGGCGCAGACCATAGACATACAGTCTATGGCACTGATTTAAGATTAAGGAAACTGCAGAGCTCTTTACCACTGTTTGTGTTGATCCTTGTCCCATGTTGCTTTTCAGATGCTGACAGGAAATTTGTTCAGCTCGCATCAGATACTCTGCAGTCTTCTTCTTTACTGCCTCACGCCGTGTGGCACTTGGTTCACCTGCAGAAATTAAAATGTCTGTGATCAATGTCAATAAACAAGAGTCATAGTTTAATGTTCATTTTTTGCCACTGTTTTCAGTAAAGAAGACTTAACATGCTTTTTATCTGGCATTTCATATTAAACTACAGCATATGTAGATCACAATTTTACATGTTGTTAATTCTAAAATAAAATACAGATCTAAAACAGTTTTGTTCAAACCTACAGGGTAGGCCCTGCCTCTCCATAGTGACATTTCCCCATTTGTCATGTACGTGTTTTTATTTTTTATGTTTTTAAAAGTTGATTTTGACATCGGATTAAAGCTGAGTAGCCACAACTGACCTTGGACTCCCTGTAGAAGCAGGTCCACTCCACTTCGATAATAGGAGAAAGCAGCCTGGTAGTCCTGTTCTTTCTCTTTCTGTACAGCTAGTGAGATGAGCTCACTGGCTTTGTCCAGATAATCAGACTTTACGTCTTTTGAGTTTCCACTGTTTGTTCCTTTTACACTTCCTGAAAAAAGCTGAGCTTTGGTTGCCCAGGTGACCTCTAGGTTAGGGGCTGAAGAAGCTGGCACAGGGGCAGGAGATGGGCTTCGACGGTCATGCAAGGAAGGCAAGCGAGGGCTACAACTGCTGCTAATGGTAATGGCTCCCCCTTGTGGTATATTTGGGGATGTGCGGCCTGAGGCCATGCCATCATCAATCTCAGCCAAAGAGTCAGTATCTACAGCAAGGGAGGTCAGATCACTGTCACTAGATGGGCCTAAGGAATAGTAAGGAACACTTAGAAAAATAAAAACAAATAAATGTGCTTCCCATTTTGTTTTTACTGTACCTCCATAATCCGAAGTGAGAGTCAAATCCTCTGCACCACTAAAATCTCTTTGTACTGTAAAGCAGGTATTTGGTTAAGTAGTAGAAAACATGAAAATTGCATATCTATAATATACAGTACAGCCCTACCATCAGAGCTGCAGTCTGACAAAGTATCTGTTAGAAGGTCAGACAGCGGTTCTGCAGGTCCTATTAGCTCTGAGCCATCGTGGACCTCCCCTCCCTGAGGAGACAGAGTGTGTTAGTGGTGGAAGTCTTTGAAACAATGTGTTATTCAGGTTTACAGACCTTGAAGAACTCCTGAATGTGCTGACTGTTGTAGAGAGCAGGGATATTAGCAGAAAATTGAAGTAAATCCTCTGAGCATTGTCTTCGCTCCTCAATCACTGAATCATCAAAACGACCTACAAAAAATGTTTACTAAGTAAGCAATGGTCAATAACTGCTCAGAGTCTGCAGTATAGTGAATCCAAAATTCTGAACATGTTACCAAAAACTTTTGCTTTGGCGAATGGAGGAAACAGCTCAGACTGGCTACAAACATTCTTGTGCAGCTGCCACAGGTTTTGATGAAGTTTGCGAAAATCATTATATCTTTTCCAAACTGTTATCTGGAAGAAAGTTGCAATTTTGATTTGGTATTGAAAGAAAATAACACTACAGTCTTTACTGTGAAGTTACTGATGCAGTTAAAACAGCAGCTTCTACAATGTTTTCACAGTATAGCCACACTACCAGACTTACTTGAAAGCAGCTCTTCCTTCATCTATGTAGAATGGCAACATGTTAATTACAGTATACTTGTGTTAAATTGCATCTATCCAAGAAGAGTGAGGAAACAGCAATGGATCGCCACTCCCAAACTGAAGCTCTGCTAAGCTCTGCTGGTATGTGCCATCTCAACAACAGTAATTGGCATCATGCTTTAAAAATTAGCGCTGGTTTCAAGTTAGACTGCAGTGCATCTCATTCAATTACTCTATATATGTGTGTTTAATTGTTATTAAAAGTGGTTCAAAAAAGAACAATATTTTCTCAAAAGCTGGTGGTTTATCCAGTTTTACAATTTTACCAAAAATACTTGTTTGCCTTCAGCTCTCAGAGAATTCCTTTGAGGTACATTACATGCATTACATGGTGTTTAAGTGTGGTTGAAAGTATGTCTTACCTCTTGGACATCTTCTGGATTCTTTCTTGAGATGATCTGTACAAAAAAATGCAGTATAAAACTCTAGGACCTGGTACATCAGCCCTGCTTATGACCTCTGCCTTGAAGACTGAGTGAGTGGAGCGTCTCGCTGTGACAAAGGACTGCCCTATAAGAATACCACGGGTGTGTAGGAGACATCACCAACAACAAGCAGACTTAGCTCATTTCCTGTCTTGAGAGTGGTCAAATGACCAAATGCACTGGTGGTTAGCCACTTGCAAAACAGTATTCTTAAAGTTTCATTTTCACCAGAACCCAATGTACAATTAGAGTGATTAACAACTGTCATCTGTCCATTGCAATAGATTGAGACTAGGATAGAAGAGCAAATATTACAAATTGAACAGAATGACATCTTGACGGCCAACAAAAGGTTGTTTTGACTTAATAAGGGGCATGTATTGACAACATCCATCAGATTGACATCAACATGAAATCAACGTTTTCACAATGGGCACGTTTATCATGGCGAATATGGCGTAAATGCTCTGACTTCAACATAACTGTCCTTTTCCGGTGTAATAAATTTATTTTTATCCAAAAGAACAAAGTCGTGATAACAGATTCCTTGTCTTTGCATCATCATTAGCTAAACATCCAGCTAGCTTAACGCTAACAACAAAACCTCAAAGCACTAGCATTGCCCTCTCTCTGTCATATTAATATTATAAATTATACTCACCCTTGCAGTCACTTTGTACACTGTGTAGCCTTTCTTGTGCTTTTTGGGGTCCGTGACAGTATAAAAACGAGCCAATTCTCCTTTCTCCCGCTGAGATATCATTCTGAGAGTGACAACATTTCCAAAGCTAGCTGTGCACATTCATTCACAGCATTCACTGGAGGAGAGTCGAGTCCGAGCGCCCACTACAGGAGAGACCACACAGCTGCACTAGTAATAGTCACACAAAAGGGGATAATTTACTTACTTACTTACTAGTGAACTAACAGCTACTGAAATGCAACTGCATGGTGTTGTGGTGGATACAAGTATACTAACCTCAACAGTATGACATATGGTTATTCTGATGTAATTATTGTACCCAAATATATCAGACGGGTTTCAAATTAACAATAGCTCTATATTGCAACAATAAAGTTTTAGAAACTAATAGTAAACTCACAAAAATTAGGACAAGTTGACATAATGAGTAAGTGTAATACAATATTTGAACCAACAGAGGTCACAATTGTCCTAAAGAGGGCCCTCCCCATGTGGTTCCTCCCTTTGGCTTTCGTGCAAGTGAGATGTCAACAACATGTGGGCAACTAGCAAAGCAGAAGAATTCTGATTTACACATTTCTTATGCTAACTATGAAAATAGCTAAAAGTTAAAATGATAAAAATGTCCAGTTGGCATTGATAACTAGGCCCACTGTTTAAAAATGTGTGACTTATTCTGCACAAGCTACATATAACTGTATACAACAATTTAACAATAACAGTGTTACTTATTGATTACTATGTCAAAAGATTGTGGGAAAACACATTTGTGCATTAGTCCCCGCTGTATCGTTCAAATGAGTCACTTGTGATACTTTTTCCGGTTTTTTCTCAGGTCACTCCCTCCCCGTTGCTGTCAGTGCTTTCATACGCGTTCAAACAACTTGCTGGCACAGTACCATTTTTCTTGTGTTAGAGTTGTTTTTTTATGTTTTGGGATATTTTACGAGTTTTGTAATGTGTTAAAGTTTCTTCTGTTGCGGTTGTCTCGTATGAAAAGTGTAGCACTTATTGCTTTTCAGCTCAAAAGCAGCGGGGAAAATGTCCAGCTGAGGAGCGGAAATCCTGAGAGCTCTGGGCCTGTTTTGGTAATGATTGGTCAACTGTTTCGACAATGGCAGTAAAGGTAGGTCATTTGCATCGTAAGGACAGATAAATAGTCGAAAATGAGTTGTGTGGCTTTAGCTGTTATTTAACAGCTGTTTTTAGGACTTGTACCCAGCCGCCTGCTGGCCAGAATCGCGGAGGCACCGACTTCTGCAGTTTTGCCAAATTGTTTAGCTATTACTCATAATTAGTCTTGTGCTTTTTAAAAGTTATTGTTTTGTTTGCTTTGGTGTAGAGACGTGTCACGGATGCACACACACATCTTTTTTAAGTTATGCTAACGACATGGAAAATGTGCGTTCTCCTGCAGTGTCTTGTGACATTTTACTACCTTTCCAGTGTGGGTCATTTGTGCTCCCGATGAATCCTGGGAATTGTAGTTCATTTCAGACTTTGCTTACAGGAGTTTTTTAGAGTTTGAAGTGTAGAATTTATCAGTGAGGAATGTTAATGGCACAACTTTATTTAGCTACACTGTAGTGTATATACCTCAATATTTTATTAACTAACAGCTAAATTTAAATGACCAACAGTTCTATAATCTGGTGCCCATAGACCTATATTATATACTTGTTATATACACTAACTTGTACAGTATTAGTAGCCTGTAGTGCAATAGTTCATTCAGGTATATTATACAGCATTTTGTAAATGAGCCGCAAGTTGTTTTTTTTTTTTTTTCTGAACCTGTTTGTCTGTGTTTGTTGTTGATACTAATAAAAAGGAAAGTTCAAGAGTCAGCAGAAACAACAAAACCTGTCCTTCCTGTTTAAGTTTGACCTTAGGTTCTTAAAAATATCTAAAACACTGCTTGTTTGTTTTCAGGCAAAAGTTTTATACGACTTCACTGCAGAACCTGGCAACAATGAGTTGACGGTTAAAGAAAATGAGACAATCACAATCACCAATCAGGTAGGCCTTGTGTTGACATTGAGGATAGCTGACAGTGGCTACATGCTCACACTTAAAAACATTGTACTGGTACAGAGTATAAACAGAAAATCTATGATGTCATTCTTACTGCTCAGTAAGAGTTCAAAGGTCACCCCATGTGTGCTGCCCTACATAGTTTTCTACTCAAAGTTAGACCAATCTGTAGCTACTGTTTAAAGAAGACTTGTTCTGCTAAAATAAAAAAGTTGCTGTGTACTGTAAAATAGCCTGTCAATTAGGCTACATTGTGCATTTTATAGGTGAATTATTGTACTGTAGACAAGAATTGTTGCTGTGGAGAAAATGGTTTCCTATAAGAAAGATTTATTTAAGACATTGTGTGTTTTGTAGAGTATTGGAGGCGGTTGGGTGGAAGCACAAAACTCCAGAGGGGAAGTAGGATTAGTACCAGAAGACTACATTGAGGTAAGAAGATGCCTTCAGTCTACAGCAGGCAATGCTTCTCCAACACATTTGTGACCTCAATTCAATAAAATAGATTTCTGTTTTCCCTGAAAGTTACAACACTGGGCCTTTTACATTTTGCTGATGTTTGCTTGTGTGAACATTTGTCCAGTAAATGACTTCATCATGTGGAGGTGATTCACTGTCATAATACACTTAAGGTTTATTTTAAAACAGACACTTTTAGTTCAGTCAATCTAACATTATACAATGCAGCCTCTGTGTTTGACAGATAATTAAGAAGCAGGGGATATGAAAATGTCTGGAGCACAAGATGTGATGTGGTAGTGTAATAATTTTAACAAGTGGATAGAAATAGACATGAAGCTATAACACCAGGGGAGCTTCCTTATGTGTGCATGATTAGTGGTGATCTTAGCCTTGCTTTTGGCTATCTACCACTGTGAAGCTGTGGCTACAAAATATTACTTTTAATCACCAATGAATAATGTACAGTGTTGCACTTTAAAAGGCCTGTCATCTTGTAAAGCACAAATTTATAGCATTGATGGGACCTACATTTAGTGCAGTTAAGCTAGGACTGTGCAGTGCATCCGATTTAAATCATGTTGAGTTTCATCAGTGATAGCTTGGCAGTCTAGTACATACAATCCTCTGTCAGTAATAGCTTATGGTTTAGAGCAGGTTTTTGGATGAATACACTTGACTTTTATTATATTAAATCACATAGATGAAAAGTCTCTTTAGTGTCGACCTCTATTTTAACTGTTCAATCCATTCTGTCCACTTTGTCGTTTTAATGCTCATCTTTTTCCACATCCAGGTGTCCGCATCCTTACCATCCTTCCCCGCTGCAGCTCCTCCTGCTCCCAGTCAAGGAAATGTGGCTGCTCCAGACCTGTCTTTCTTTGACGCTTTTGCCCCTGCCTCTGCCCCACCTCCTGTTCAGGTGCACTTTAACTTTAATTACATTTTTCAATCGTTTTTTTGACGCAGTTTTGCATTTACATCAAAGTTGTATTTAAAAGCTAAAATGCAGAAGTGAATTTGCATTGGGCCATTTATTTTTACCTGTGTGTGAGTTTTTGCAGACTGAAACCCAGATGTCACTTAGTTTTGAGTAACAATGTTTTCTAAGCATCTGCTGTAATTGTAAGCAGAGTTTAGTCAGAATTAGGAACAATTGTGAATTGTCTAATATTTTGAGGTCAGCAAGTTGTTGAGTACAGAAGGAAACGCATCAGCAATTGACTCACTCTTCCCCTCACAGCATAGATGGATTTCTGCATTTCCTAACTATAACATCACCATCACATTTTCTTCCTCTCAAGGTGGACACTGGGAATTTGAGTCCCCAGCCCGATACCCCAGATACCCCTCTCACTCCCTTCTTTTCTTTCCCGGGCGAGGTAACAACCATTAAAAGATGGAGAGCAGAGCCAAAGAATGAACCCAACATGACTCTGCCCCCCTTTTTTTGATTCGTTTGCCTTGGAAATTTGCCCATTTGATGACGCTAAAAAGCATGTTGTCACTTATTACTGATTAACATGCACACTCTGTTTTCAAATCAGCACCAGTTAAAATGTCACTATTCTATTCTTACTTTAATCAATATATTACTTATTGTATGTACTTTTAGTATTAAACCTTAATTTCATACCAGGCAACAGTTTGGAAACTTGGAAGATGACCTGACTTTTGACTGGTATCACGTATGAAATTATTGTTTTAATTTTAATACTTTGATTTGTGTTATTGTTGTTGCATTAATAACATGTTTTTAGCTCTAACATATGACATGTTGCAAGGTTGGTTCCCAGAGTGTTTTTTCAGCATTAAAAAGTGCATGTTTTATGTCAGTTTTGTATCATTGAAAGTCCTGCACAGTGCACACAACCCATACCACAGTGTGCTTAAGTGTGTTCCTTTAAGTTAATTGCATGATATGATTTCCTTCTAATACATGAAACTCGTTGGTACTGTTCTTGGTATGTAATGGAGATTTCAGAATGATACAGTTAAGTTAAGTTAAACCAAAGAACAATAGATGCCTTATTCAGTTCCTCTTTGCTTATCCTTGTATTAGTATTCTGCCAGTTTTAACATTACTGTATTTTCTTCAGGCGAGTAATGGTAATGATCCCTGGTCATCGTGGAATGCTGATCCTTCGGGAGGCTCTTCCAACAATTGGGCATCCAACCCAGAGGGCACTCAGACTGGGAAGAGTGCAGCAGCAGACCCCTGGGGCTCTGTGTCCCATGGCCATCCTCAGGCTTATCAAGGACCAGGTTAGGATTGATATTAACTCTATTATAATTGTCATGCATACTCTATAAATCACATAGAAACAGCTGCATTTGCTCTTGTCTTTGTACAAAAAACTAAAAGTAGCAAATTTGAACACATTATTATTTGACTGTATAATGCTATTTTGGTAATCGTACTTTGTAAGTGTTGACCAAAAAAAAAAACATTCCTTTTTTTTCTTTCCAAAGGCCCATATCCTTATTTGATTGATTATACAGGTATCCTGTGTCTTGTATGTTGGTAGTTTTGAGCATATAGTAACAAAAAGGTTGAGTTTTTGTGAAGAAATAACAGCATGTGTTTGTACAATAATGGACATGTCCAAAATTCTTTTGTCACTAAATGTATTCTCATGTCATGCAAGGTATAAAGCATGTTCAATATGTTTACCCCAAGTTTGTCCCATGGCATGCACTGGTCCCATGCCCTTTAATGCTCTTCCCTGCATTACCCATGCATTATTCATACAGTGTATATGGAATGTGTGATAGGAGCTGAAGACGATGAGTGGGATGATGAGTGGGACGACAGATCTGGAGGTTATGCAGACTCTGAAGCTGGAGAGGGTGGAGCCATGCAAAGAGCTCATACAATGAAAATATCCCTCAACAAGTAAGAGCCCACCAGAACAACAATGGTCCAGTGACACAAAATAAATACATAATTTTTCTGTTTCTGAGCAGGTTTCCCTTCTCAAAGTCTGGTCCAGAGCTATTCCTCCTTTGCAAACAACTTACTAAAGGCAAAGAGAGGCTCCCAATTTATGTAAGTATGTTCTTCAAAACCAACAAGTTCTTCAATGTTATTGTAATAACATCTGTTGTCTTCTAACTCATGCTCAGATGGGAGAAGTTGGCGCAGTTTGGTCTTACCCAGAAACACAGTTAGACTGTGTTGTAGCTGACCCTAAAAAAGGCTCAAAGATGTACGGCCTCAAGAGTTACATTGAATATCAAATTACACCCAATGTAAGTATTCATGTGAAGGCAATAACTTAAATGTAATAACTAAATAAAAATAACAATATTTGAATTATATTATGTCTTGCAAAAGCACTTTCTTTTGTAACAATTCATGACTGTTTTATAGACCACAAATAGACCTGTCAATCACAGATACAAGCACTTTGATTGGCTGTATGAGAGACTCCTGGACAAATTTGGGTCAGCCATTCCCATCCCATCTTTACCAGACAAGCAAGTGACAGGTACGGCAAATTAAATACTTACATATTACATTCTTAGTGAAATGTTGAAAATCCAATTCCTGTGTGTCTAGGACGATTTGAAGAGGAGTTTATTAAAATGCGTATGGAGCGGTTGCAGGGCTGGATGACTAGAATGTGTCGGCACCCGGTTGTTTCAAATAGTGAAGTGTTTCAACTTTTTCTCACCTACAAAGACGAGAAGGTTTGTACTGGATCTCAACACTAATCATGTGTTTACACTACAGAAACACAGCTTAACCCTTCATCTTCTTCAAACTGGTTTCACATCGTTAGATCGGGTTTGGAATGCATGATATTTAGAGACTACTTTATATTTTGAGATAATATAGGAATAATTGTATCGTAACTATTGTATTGATAACTATAATTAACTTTTTTATTAACACTTTTTACATTTGTGAATGTGCTTAAAATTATATAGTTTTTGTGGGTTTTTTTTGTGTTTTTTATGTATTTTATTTGAACTCATATCATAATCAAATCATTATCTTTGTCGTTACTATTTCTTTAGGATTGGAAAATGGGCAAGAGAAAAGCAGAGAAAGATGAGACTGTTGGAGTAATGATTTTCTCCACAATAGAGCCTGAAGCCCCAGATCTGGACCCACTGGAAGTGTAAGTTTAACAATATACCAAAACTAAACAAAACAAAAAGTAAACAAATAAAAGAGACAAATAACTGTATTTCTTTGTTGTGTCCCCTCAGGGAGCAGAAGTGTGAGCAGTTCAGCAGGTTTACCAAAGCCATGGATGACGGTGTGAAGGAGATCCTCACTGTGGGCCATGAGCACTGGAAGAGATGCACAGGCCGTATGTGACTTAATGCATGTTTTCTATTCTCTCTCCCTCATTCTTTCTTATATTCTGCCTCATAATTACTATTTACATTAACGGGTATTATTTTGTAAACCTATCACATTGACTTTGGTGTTTGTGTCCCATCATAGCATTACCCAAGGAGTATCAGAGGATCGGCAAGGCTTTCCAAAACTTGTCCTCTGTTTTTACGAGCAGCGGTTATCAGGGTAAATTCCAGTATTAGCTGTGGTACATTTTGCTACGATGTAAATGCTCTTTCAGTTGAGCAACAATACCCACTTAAAAATAAAACGACAATACAAACAATAAACAAATACAATTATACATATTCAGGCTTAAAATATGCATATAAATGATAGAATATTCACTCTAAGACTCCAGAATCTAAGCAGTGATGTAAATGCACACACCATAAATGTACTGTAGTCCAGAAATGTTCCCTATTATGTATTATTTATTCTTTTTGAAGTTTGACACACACAAGATCTTATAATACTGTTTGTGACTTTTATGTCGAAACCGGCGGCAATTGAGAAACCTTCTGATTACAAAACTTGTGCCTAGGTGAAGCCACCCTCACAGATGCCATGACTGAGGCAGGAAAGACCTATGAGGAGATTGCTCAGTTGGTTGCAGAACAGGTATGTGATTTTTACAATAGCTAACCATGTATTGCAACAGAATGTAACACCATAACATAGTGATGTGTGTTTATTCTTAAACAACAAGTTTTGTACTTTTTTCCTTCAGCAAACCTCATCTTTCACTCTGAGCTTTTCCGGTTGAGGTCATGTTGCCGTCACATTGTGCTGTCATGACCTTGTTTACCCCATGTACTGCCTGTCTAATCTGTACAGGAAGATCCCAAGGCTGAATTTATTTCTAGTAATGGTGATGTGTTATACATTGAAAAGAGCAAAGTCTTAGCATGATTTATACAAATAACCATACTAGTGTAATTACTCTAATGAATCATATCCATATGAAAATAAATCAATGTATTCAAGTTGTCTGATAGCCTGTTGAGACACTATGTCGCTAAATCTTCAGTAACAGTGATGAAATTCAGTATGGATATATTCTGATATTTCTGTACGAAATACTGTCTCCACCACAGAGTAATATCGCCCCCTGTCATCCTTCAAGATATTTAATTTAACATAAAAAAAATATAGTATAGAAATTCTAGAACCTCTTTCAGGTAAATGTTTTACCATTTTAACGTAGTGTGTTTTATGGTGTCCCTGTAGCTAACAGAGTCATTTGTGTAAGTTTATGCTCCTCCAAAACCCTTTGTGATGGTGATAGATAAATTAATAGTAGATATATAGACCAATAGTCCGAAGTTGGCTTTATTTAACCTCTTAAATAGTACTCACTTATCAGTCTAGTTCCAAATCTAATTTTACTACTGACACACTTGAGCAGTTTGCATTATCTTGGTTTAAAAATTGATATGTAAAGGGGGAAATTTCACCAGTGATGTAGAGTTTCCTTTTGTCTTTATCTCTTGAGAACCTGTTGCCATTTTCTTTTACCCATATCTGACATTCAGATAATGATATGACAGTTATGTGATGCTTGAATGTTTTTCAGCCTAAAAAAGACCTCCACTTTGTCATGGAAACCAACAATGAATACAAGGGGCTGCTGGGCTGCTTTCCTGACACCATTGGAGTCCATAAGGTGCACTGTCATTTTGTCTATTTCTTAATTATGCAGTTGTGTATTTGCTAATGCTTTATAATCCTGTACAGGCTGCAATAGATAAATTAAAAGAAGGTGACAAACTGGTTGCAGCTGGTAAAATCACAGCTCAGGATAAAGTGACCATGGCCAAACGTGTCAGCACTATGTCTTATGCATTACAAGGTAGTACAGTCAAAGTATTGGTTACAATAAGATCATATCTGGTAAAGTAATATCTTCTTTTTTTCTTTTTATAGCTGAAATGAACCACTTCCATAATAACCGAATCTATGACTACAACCGAGTCATGCAGCAGTACCTCGAGGAGCAAATCAAGTTTTACGAGACGGTAGGAACATTTTCATCAACTGTCTGGTTCACTAAATGTCAGCGTGTAAAGGCTCTTCTAGATATACGACACAATGTATTATGTAACATCACACCTGCTTGTCTCCGTGGAGATGGCACTGCTTTGCTTAGATGTGCATTCATTCTGGCCAAAAACACCTTGAAAAACTACTGTGGCAGACTTGTCTCAGAAACTTGGCCTGGTGGAGTCACTTGCTTGTTTCCAAGGAAATGGATCAATTTAATGCCATACTGTGTAATGTTCCTTTCAAAGCAATAAATCTCCCTGGAGAAGTCAAGTCTAATATGCAGTCTTTAATAATGGCCTGAATATCCCTGGCATATTGACATATATTTATGAGAATTTCTAGAAATTGTAACCAAAATGTTTAGTTTTATTTTCTTTATCATATGAGAAAGCTAGTGTAATGTATTCTTAAAATGTTAATTTGACAGCAGAACTCTGTATATTTAATCACATTTACTTACCATGTGTTTTTCTACAACTTCTTTCTACATTCCTAGATCGCAGCAAAACTGAGACATGCACACAGTCAGTTCACCACTATGTGAGAACCGAGACTGTCACACTACAAGAACCCCTCCAATATTCCTGTTTGTACTGCTTTCTTTTGGCCACATTTTATTTAAGTTTTAATTTCCTTCACCTGTGCCTTAGAAAATATAACTGTAACAACAGAATTTTCAGCAGGGCTCCAGCAGCAGAAGAGTCCAAAGTCAGTGTAAAATACTTTTTCATTTCAAAATAATTAGGCAAACAGTACTGTGCAAAGGTCTGAGGCAAGTTTTTTTTTAAGAAAAGCTATAAGCAGAGGTGGGAGGTGTATTTTGGAAAGTATATAATCTATAATTAAAACTATTGAAAATGACCTCAAAAAGAGACAGAAACTTCTAGTGTAGTCTCCCCTTTGTGGTTATTTTAATAATCTTTTCATTTAATAACAAAATGTAGATTTTCATTTTTGTCAATATTGCCCACGCCTAACTATCCATGGGTTTTAGAATGATTAAAAACTAGAATAGCTGCCATAGCGATTAACAATTTATACCATTCAAAAGATGTATTTTGTTTTAATGTTCTCAAAAAACAGAAAGCCATGAATAAGTATGTGTGTGTGTTCTACATGTGTTAATTGTATTGGTCACACCTTTGCACATTACTGTATATTAAAGTCAAATTGAATATTGTAGTTTTTTGTAGTATAATATTGTTGCCTTTTGCTGATACTGCCTTGTCTTGTTCAGCCTTTGCACTTCCTTCAAACAGGAAACTCCCATCTCCTTCCTCCAGTGCCTCCTCACGTGCCTTATATTATTGTACAAAACAAAAGTGCTTGGATTGTCTGCCCTGACGAGCATACTATATTTCTGCAGTTTACATTTTACACAGTTATTTTTTAATTTTGAACACAATAAAAGTGAAAATGAAAAACGCCCCAATGAAGAGAGACTTTAGATTTTGGTGAAGAATGTTTGTCCCTAGAAATAGTTGTTTTATATGAAGGCGTATTAAGCACTAATAAATGTAACAATCTGTACTATAAGAGCTCTGGTCATGGCCTGGAGAATATGTGATGTATGCAATTTTACTTCTGCTTTTCACCAGCTTGCAATCAGCCTAATCTTATACACTTTTTACTTTCTTATGACATCCTATATAAGACATTCTGTGTAAGTAATAAGACAAATAGAAATGTAACTATATACTTTGAGCCCGTCCGGTGCACCATCAATATTTTATGTATAGAGCTATGCCATTTGTAACTAAATTCTGTTTGATTTATTAAACAATGATTTGTACTCGTTCTGCTCTGATCAGTGTTTAAATGTTGTGTATTATTCTGTGTTCGTGTCTTATACATGGCCTGTGCCACATTCTGGTTTTACAGTGTCTGTCCTGTTTCCCAAATGGACTCCTCCTTTAAACGCTGGCCTTGGAGACACAGAGGGGTCTGACTGTGCGGGTCAAAGACTGTGTTTATTCACTCACCCTCAAAGGGCTCTTTTAGCGCTCACTCGTCTGTGGAGGGCTTTAGGTGCAGCTGGATGTGGACCACATAGGGCTTTTTAATGTACTTCAATTTAGAACTGAGACTGTATTCCTGTAGACTGGAATGTCTGAACTTTATACTCTTGAATATGAATGAATAACACCAATGTACAATTTATCAAAGATTCAGTCCAGAGTAAAAAGTGGTAAGCATGGCAAATAGGTATGCTGCATACACAGTATGTCTAATATGTACATTTACTGGTAAAGTGTATTTTGGAAATGCCAAATACCAGTACGTTTATATATTATATTTTCTAAAAAAAAATAAAATAAAATACACACAAATAAAAAAATACAGGTTCATACAACATTTCCTTGTCTGAAATAGTGTGGTTAAATATTGCTGCAATATGCATTTGAGGTTATCCAACTGGCATGACTCCCTTGTCCCTTCCATGTCTTCATCATGTCTTCATCATGGGTGCACTCCTCATTAGTAACTTCCTTTTTTAAAAGCAGTTTTATCCTTGTGTATCCATGTGTAAAAAAGCCATGTGGTCTTTACTGCCTCATGTTTTAAGGTGACACATGTCTTCTGAAGGAGCGTGGCCGAATCATCATTATGACTTTACGCAGAGAATAATAGTCTGAGTCTTTCCACGAGTGCCACACAATCCCGTCTGGACCCAGAGGACCACGGCCTCGAGGACTGTAATGGCCTCCCTGTAAGTGAAAAATATTATTATTGTGCTTTTCTCAGGAGTTTTATAAAGGCTTATATATTCTATTGTTTACCCTGTAGTAAACTCCGTTCAGGTGGGCATAAAAGCACTGGTTGTACCACCATCCGCCATGGGAGATCTCCGCACAAATGTTGCCACTGTCTGGAGTGCTGAAGCTCTGTTTGTCATGGTACCATCCAAACGAGTCTTGCACAGAGCCACTAAAGCCTGATATATGGAGGCGGTACTGGTGCTCCTCATCTTCTACACTACAGAACAACAAGGGGAAGCATTTTAGTGAGTAGTGTTGAGACAATATCAACATATTCAAAATTGAAATATACTACAACAAAAGCTCAATGCAGATTTTAATACCACAATGACAATTAAATTCACATCACTTCAATGTCATAGTAATTTCTTTAAAACTTTCAAGCTGGTCTTATACAAATTCTAATATACATCAAGCCCAGTCAAAGCTACTGAGGAGTTGACAGCTTAGTTTGGAGTATTGCTATAGCTACTTTGTGCACCACCTGAAGCTCTGGTAGATGGCGTGCTTGTGCTTATTGCTCCAGTCATCCAGGTCTATGCGTAGCACGTATTCCCCCTGAGATGTGAGGTCATGGATGTGGTCGTTCCCCAACCAGAACTCCGAGTGCAGGTCTCCAAACCCATCCCTGTAATCCCCCCAGGTTCGGTCAAAGGTCACCGATCCATCCAACCTCCTCTGGATCATGGTCCAGCCCCCACCTAAAGGACAGCATATGTCATAAGAACCATCGCTTTGAAGGAGCTGTGAAGGAGGAAAAGCTACAGTGATGTGTTGAGTAGCCACAAATTACTAATTGCAGTATATAAGAGTAAAACAAGAAGAGTCACACAAATTCTCATATTTCCAATGGACACCTACAGTACAGTAAATATGAGATGCAAGAAATACATGTCCAAGTCATGTTAATATTGTCACTGTCAACAAAAAGCTTTCTTACCAATAGACCTGCTCACAGTGGAACGAATAACCAAAACTAATAGGACTCAAATTATTTAAATAAAAATATTACTCACAGAAGTAACAATATTGTGCAAAAAAAAAAACAGATTACTCCCATCTCTGAAATGAAGTAGTCTTTATGCAGATTGTCACTGTTTACCATATGGCAGGTCTAGTGGGAGCTCAAAGGCAGATGAGGCAACAACGAGACAAAACAGGTTGTAATTAACTTTTTATAAGTTTCTGTGAAGCGTCACTCACCATCTGTATCCATATCACAGAAGACTTCCACAGGAGCCCCAGCCAGTACCACAGTGTAGAGACCTGATCTCCTCACGCCATTGTGGTAAATAGAGGCACAGTCTGTAGGGCAGTTCCTAATGTTCTGTGTTTCTGCAGGGGAAGAATAAAGCCAATAGTTAAAGTGACCTGCGCCCTCTCCTGGTGGAAAAGTGCACTGACTAACCTGGGTGGTTCTGATGGTCTTGAGAATTCATCAGAGAGTTGGGGTGAGGGAGGTTGACCAAACACCCAGGGCTTCTTTTGACCCGATCCACCACTTCTGATAGATTATGGACCTGGTTCTGAAGAGAGGGGCATTGTCAGATGGTGACTGTGCAGGGCTTTTAGATTTTTATTTAGGCTAGTAACACCTTTAGTCTTATTTGGGAAGTAAAATTTTATGCATAGCCCTAAACTGTTTTTATTTTACCAATGTAAAACATACTTTTTAAATAAATTTTCTCTCTGTAATTACATAACAAAACTTTATAGCTTAAAGCAGTGGTTTGTACACTTTATTACAATATTTTGTTTACCAAAATATTACAGCTTCATATGACTATTAAACCCCGGTTTGACTAATAATTGCAAATACTAGCAATAGTGACTAAAAAATTTATTTAAATTTTTGAATATTGAACCTGCAGATCAAGTATGAGGGTGCCCTGTATGTGCAGCAGACTGGTGGCCTCTGTGTAGTGCATCTCCAGATCATGAAGTCTCTGTTCAAGGGACATGTTCAGGTGAGTCCTCTCTTCAGTCTGTCAACAAATCACATGCTTTCAGAAGAAACATCAGCTTAAAACAGTTCTAAATGGTTTTACATTTGACCTATTCTATTATATTTGTCAAACAAAACAAGAGGTATAATAATCAAACAACTGAGAACTATGTGGTCACAGATGATGTGCTGGAGCCCACCTGAGGTGTGTTATTGTTTGTGTAGCACTAAGATCAACGTAGCTACATGTGTAGGAGCATGACTAATCCTGTTAGCAGCTAAGGTTAAGGACAAGGTGCAAAGAGAGCTACACTACCTGCTGCTGTTAAGACATGAGCTATGACAAGGCACTATCATAGTGAAGCTTCAGATAGATATGGCTGTCAAATCATGTTAATTTATTATGCATTGTCATTTTGGATGCCTTCTACTATTGAACTTGTGTGACAAATCAAATTTAGTTTGATGATGGGGATAAAATAGGCTACAGTTTTTACCCATGACTATGGATAATACTGCCAATCCTCTGGGGAGCAGAGGCTCTGTTGTACACAGTGATGCAGTGTAATGACCTGTATCTCAAGGACCTTGACCCGAAGCCGGTGGTTCCTGAGCTCCTCCTGTAGCTCAGACACAGTCTCTCTGAGTGTGTGCAGCTGCCGCTTCAGCTCTTGGTTCTCATGGAGCCAAAAGGACACTTCATCTGTGCAGCGGAACATGTCAGGACACCTCTGCCCCCCCAGCTGGGGCAAAGAGGCCACGATACGACACATGCCATTTTCTGTCAGCTGTGGAGGGAGAAATCAAATAATAACAATTACAAATGAAAGTCAAATAAGAGAAGTAGGTTAGAGCATGATAAAACATGTACATGAAATAATACCAGAATAATTTCTTTGGTCTAAACATTAAAATGAACCGTATTTTTATGCTTGGATTAATATCCACTACAGTTGACATTAAAATTACTCCCTAATAACTTTCTATGTCTTATCCATTCATCAGTTTTATTTTATAAATATTGGTAAATGTGAAGATTGTCTAGAGGCAGTGAGTGGAGACTACAGGGACTATAGCTACAAAATGACAACACAATGACCAGAATACTATATGAAGATACTTTTAATTAATACTAAATACTAAGCCAACAACATCAGAGCATTAAGCATCTATTTCAGTCTCTCTTGGGTAATTGTATTTTGTAAGTTCTGATAAGTTCTCACCTGATTTGTGTACTCTCCACATTGAGTTCCTCCTCCATTGAATCCAGTTGTGTTAAAGGCATCCACCTCAGCCACCAGCACCAGTGCCATCCACACACACAGCCCAGAAAGTACAGAGGGAGACATGGTCGACTTTGTCCCACTGTTTTAAACTAACAGTTTTTCTGTTTGGGAGGAGCAGGTGCAACAGTCCACTTGTCCATGCCCAGGTCGGTTTCATCTGTGGTTTTCTTAAATAGAAACAATATTTATGTTACACATTTGTTTGGTCTCAGATGACTATAGGGGCATGAACTTGGGTAATTATGACGAACCAAGATCCCATTAGGTATATTACATTAGTGCCTTGAGGCTCAAACGTGCCACCTACTTAACTTAACCTCTTTATTGCCCCTATTGATTGAAACATGCATTTCTTTTTGACTGAATCATTAAATGAAGCCTTGAGAACTAAAACAAAACCTCATCCGTCTCTTTAAAAAAATCAAGTAAATATTCTGTTAGCATTATCAGTAAAACTTAAAGTTTCCTGGGACATAACAACACACAAGAAACAACAAATAAATAAACAGTAAATAAATAGGAGTTTGACCATTAGATTATTGGTGTAGCACTGCTCCTGCTTCATTCCCTTCAGTGTAGCAAAGTCTACGCCTACTTGTAGCACTTTAAAGGAGCTGCCACTTCCACATAGGGCCTAAAACTACTCACCTTAGCCAGAGCTCATCTTATGCTAGCACCACACCACACTTATTTCAGGCGCAGTGTTTTGTCCATTTTCTATTCAAAACTGCATTAATATCAGTTTTATGTAAGAGTGTCCTTCATGGTCTTCCTCCCTCACTCTCACTGCAGACATCTTAGAGCCATAATCCACCTGTAAGAGGATTCCACCAGAGACGGAGACAGAACGGGAAAGGGAATGGACAGTTATCACATGGTGGTGTTTATTTACAAGTTACAAAACACTTTTTTGTCTTTTTTTATTTGCCTCATTCATGAATCAGTGCATCAATGTGAATGAAAAGGAACAGAAATAGCATAGCTGTGTAATATCTGCCCTCTTTAACACTTCTAACACTTCTTTATAATAAAAATACTTGCTACACTGGCTTGACTACTGTAGGTTACAGTGTTTTTGTTGAAAGTACTTGAAGATTATGTGGCTTGGTACCATTATTTTACTGCTCCCAATAATACAAGTTTTAAGTCCTTTATGTTGGGAGCCAGTGATATCATTCATTTATTTATTTTTTAATATATAGGTTGTTTACAAGAAATTTCTACTGCACTACTGCACTGTTCACAACAATCCCCATCCATAAGAGCTACGGAAGTGAGTAGGGATGTAACAATAACCAAAATATTGTGAAATTGTATTGTCAAAGTTCTCACAATAATATCGTGGACCATCACAATATATCAAATTACAAGTCTCTTTGCTTAAATTAAGAGTTATGATGCAGCAATAGTTAAAAAAGACAGACCATGATCCTTTGCTCCATTTCAGTGCAGACTACAAGAAAAAATAAAAATTCTAAGCACATTTAAGTCTTAGTTGTTTGGATTAAGTTTTATCAAGGCATTTTAAGAGGAAGAAGTAGCATATTAACAGTTCTGTTTGCCTCCACAAAATATCGCAATAAATATCGCACCGTGAGGTCCATACCGTGACGATATCGTATCGTGAGACTTGGGTGCCATTACAACCCTAGTAGTGAGTTGTCTGCACGTTTTTTCCACAGTTTGTTTTTTAGTCCTACATGAGCCTAATTAAAGTTCCTGTGCGTACACATAGGCCTGGATTAAACAAAAGAAAGGGAGGGGGTATCGTTTCTGCAAGTAGCTCGGGAATTAGTCTTATTACTTGGTCTTCCACAAGGGGGCGACAACATACTGTACATGGCATAGAGCAACCTACAGTCTATATGCTTAATAGCCTCATCATGATAGGCTACCAGATTTACAGCTAAAACATCACTAAATTTCACACATCATGACAAGATAGGGCCTTTATTGAAATCAGGAACTGAGAATAAAAAAGGGGGGAGAGTGGGTTAATTTTAGACCTGGCAGTTTCATATCTCAGAATGAAATACAACCGCCTTTGGCTACACCTGGCAATGGGCCACATTTAGCCTAATGGGTTCAATTACAAAATTCAATTAGCTTAATAATCATCAGCGTGAGGATAACAGCATGACGCCACTTGCTATTTCACTTCATTAGATGTCATTATGTGAACAAAAACAACATTAGTCATTGGTGATTAATTTGAAAGAAATCTAGGCTAATGATTCAGTGTTTCTCAAACTGTGGTAGGTTACGTGGGCTGCCTCTGGTGCCACAAGGGGCCCTCTGCAGTATTTGTTTAATTTAGAGACACATCTATCAATGTTTTTGTCTTAATTTGGGTTAATTATTATTTAAAACTACATTATTCAGTGTTTAGTCTCATTTTAGACCTGGTTTAGTCCTGGTTTAATTTTGGCCTATCTGTTGATATTTTGCAGCTGATGTCATCAACGTTCCCTGGGGGTACGATGTTAACTGTAGGCACTGCTTTGTCTGAGGCTAGATGGCCAACAGTTACTATGGGACTATTTAGCCAACAGTTCTTCAGTTAGTCACTCTCACCTTTTTTCTTAAAAATCAAACTCATATTGATCACACGCTCGTGAAAATGTGTTGTTCAAATCAAATTTTTCTCTAATTTTTCAGACTATCTTGAAACTTTTATATCACAATAGTCAGGTGTCCTGTCGATTTGACCTACCTAGCACATTTAAATGCCGTCGATTTGAGCTCCTGAGGCAGAAGTGGAATATCAAGTAACATTTTAAAAGTGTATAGGCTTTATTGTATGTTATCACCAGTTGAGCATATAAGTAACGACATGTGCGTGTTAGATTTGTGGCAGAATACCTACGTTAGATGATTGAATAGTTTTGATTTAATATTTGATTTTGTCATTATCATTTTCATTAGATCGTATTTTATTTTGTAGATAATGTTGTAACTTTGTTTAGAAAGGTGCTGTATAAATAAAATATTACTATATCATAATAGGAAATTCACACTGTAGCCTATGATATTTAGTTTATATAAAGATTTTAGTGTTTTCAGTCATTTCTTTCTCTTATATAGTGGGAGCCTTATTTGATAGAAGATATAAGCATGTCTAAATGAGTTACCTCTACCCGAATTCATATAAATGGGTGAATAATGGTGATTCTACAGTGTAAGCATTATTTGATGGCTAAAGTGGCCTGTCAATATGTGTTCCATTTTGTCGGAGCCTTATTTGAGCAGAATATGACTCTTGAAATGAACTACCTATGGATATTCATACAAATGAGTTGAAATTGTACATATCTAAGGTATAAAGTGTGATCGCCGTGTGCAAAAAGCATCAAAACCGCTGTCTCTAATCCAAAGAAATCTGTTGTAAAACCGGGGAGGTTAGCTTTACTGGCTCTCGAGTGTGACTCAATAGACATCACTGTCAATTTAGGCTTTTGCCGGGGCAACCCATTTCGACAGAACACCAGGTTTAGATCTAGTGGTACTCAGTCAGAAACCCATATGTTCCCTTAAGTGGTACTTGGTGTGAAAAGTTTCAGAACCAATCTACACCATTTTTGGCACTAGTTGTCAGTGCGTCATTTCAGTAACTTGATCTGATTTTGATGTCAGCTCCCCCACTTGTTGAAAAAGGGAATTTGGATTTAAAATAAGACACATACTGAATTATTCATGCACAGGAGACAGGTACAAGCGTTTGTCAAGCTGTAGAGTGGCTTTTCCAGGCTCAGAGACATGAAGCTAAATGCATGTTCAAGGATGTGACAGTGGGCGAGAACATGTGGACCGTAAACAAGGTGGGGGAGGACTTTCATTTAGCATGTGTGGAAACAGGCCCGTTGACAGAAATTTAGGGACCCAGGGCAAGAAGGCTTCGGGGCCCCCCCTGTAATATACATTAATAGGCAGAGGTTCCAATTCTGGGCCCCTATGACATTGGGCCCAGGACAAGACACCCCTTTACCCCACGTCGACTCCCCTGTGTGGAATTACAATAACAACATAAGACAATATTTTTATACTTAAAATTCAGTTAGAACACGTAGATCAAAAGGCAAAACTGTTTTCAAAATGTAAGAATAGGTTTTTGTAGTCTTTTTTGTGATCCACAGTTCTTCACAACATTTCTCATTTATTAGTACTTATACTTCAAAAAACTGCTCCTCAAAGATCTGCCTCTCCAGCTGTTGACATGTTTCGTAGTTCTTTTACAATAAGTTCCACATTGCCACAGATTCTATAGTTATTCTGTGATGTCTATGTATCTAGGGCTTAGGTTATCTCTCTGGAGCTCTGTGTTATAAAACCAGAGTCGCTCTTGAGAATGAGGGTCCACAGTTAATGTCATGTTTTAATGCAAATATGTCTGTTCCAAGAAAATGTGGGCCCGCACTTAATAAACCTATAATGCCTGTCAGAGCCAAGCGTCCAGTCTATGGAGAATGTAGGTCAACAGCTATAAAATGTATCTCAAATTATAATGTTTTTCTCTTTTGTTATTTAGATCAAAATGTAGGCCTATTTTTGTGACCGCATTGACCCCTTTTTGAACAAATGCCAAGGTTTTTTTCAGGTTTGTGGTGATCCAAAATGAAAAATACTTTAAAAAGAAAGAAAGAATACTGCAAGTTTTTCTTTAAAGGGCCTTTATTGTTGTATTTTCTGATCTACAGTATGCTATAATGTTTTATTTCATTACATGTTTAACACACAAACCCCACATATTTAGGCAGAGTACTTCTCTCAAACAGAAAACACATTGTTCCACCTTGTGAGGTCATGTGATAATACAGAAAGTTCTCCACTGTGTTTTTAAACTCCATACACCTTCATCAGAATCATTTGGATGATTTATGAAATTTACAATATACTTAACAAAAAAGTAAAAGATAGCTGTTAACTTGAAACAGCATTTGAGCTTTGGAGATGTAGACAAACTAAAGGATGACTTGCACATGTGTGAATGAAACAAACACAACTCCAGTTATGTTTTTGAAGAGGTAATGACATTATAACATGGTTTAAAGCTCACATGGGTCAAT